CAAGAAAGCTCCTGACTATGCATGGAGGGTTTCACCTAGGGGTGGGTGGTATGAACGGTATACGGTAGAAACTATATAAATTTGGCCAACGGTAGAGATTTTGACTATACCACTCTACCGCGATAGCGCATGTTGATGCATCAAGCAGAGCCTGTTTTGGTCGAAAGCATTGCAGCGGCTGCAAACAATATCATCTGCAAATTATGCCGGGTGACAGTAATAGCAAAGAGACGAAGCACTTTTGGTAGATGGGGAAAGCCAAAAACTGCGCTTCCTCCACTTCGCTACCATTGATACATTAATGCAGTATTCTATCACAGCTGCTCTATTCCCGTGTTGTTGCAGTGCATTAATGACTAACCTCGTACTGTGGATGGATTATCTCAGTTGTTCTCCTGACTGAAGTTTGGTCCGTTTACAGCATCCTGCTATGCGATTGCATTTGTCTCTAACAATCAGGAACCTTCACGTTAACTTTTATCGAGTGGAAAAAAATTGGCGTTCATCCTCCAGCTTCACTGTGCTAATGTTATGCTAACGTAGCTGTTTTGCTAGCAATCACGTAGGACAGGACATCATTATATACAAGCTAGTCCAGCTTCAGTAACCCTACAAACGTCACTGCTGTTTAGTTTTTTGTCTTCATTTATGTTAGAAGTGATAGCAGAGTTGTACGTTTTAATTTTTTCAGAAATCTCTCAGTCAGAACATGCTATATCATGTTTAGGTGGAAGCTAGCGAGCTAACTTCCTGCTAACTTCCAACTCCGTTGAATTGAATAAATTCTGTTTTCATGGATGCCTGGATGTTGAACTTAATTGTTCCACCTGGTAAAGCAGCAACGCTGATCATTTTATTAAAGGTGAAAGAATTTAGACAGTTTTTCAACTCTCAGTGATGCCGCAGTGTTTGTTTGACTTTGGGACCTGAAGAAGACAGAGTTTAGGACCCAGATTAGTCAGGAACCTCTCCTGACTACGGCAGCTGTAATGCTCCGACAATCCATCAGGCGGTGCGGCTTCGTAGCTTACCAAAGTCGGACTAAAACATTTTTGGACAGATTTCTACGCGCCGTGTAGCACATAAAATCGGTTCGAGGTCAGTAAGCACAACCAGAATTCATACATAAGGCACACTGTCGCTTTTGAGAAAATTAAAGCATTTTAAGTGTGCCTTGTAGTGTGTAAAATACGTTATACAGAAGAAAAGAATATATCGCGATATATATCGTTACCGCACATGCTTCAAATTATACCGTAATATGGATTTTAGGCCATATCGCCCAGCCCTAGTTTCACCCCAAGTCCAGCACTTGGCTGTACGCTAAGTGGAAGGAAGGAGGCCGGGGGACTGGTGAGTGTCAGCATGAGACTTTGAATCATATCTATCTATTAGACTAGTTTACCCAAGTAAATGGAAAACCTTCACACATTAATTATGGAGTTCCACAGGATCCTACATTGGGGCCAGTTCTATTTACATTATATTATTCTTCCCTTAGGGAGTATTAATTAGATATATCATACACTTCCATTACTATGCAAATAATACCTACACGATAGCCATGATGCACAGTTTTGTCTATCTATGAGGACAAAAACAAATTAGTTAAATTGCAGGAATAATTAAAAGCAGGGGTGGAAGAACTCAAGGGCTGGTGTCCTGAACGTTTCCGATGTGTCCTTGATCAAACACAGCTGATTTAAACAGCTGAATGACCTCCTCAACATGTCTTAAGTTCTCCAGAGGCCTGGTCATGAACTTATCATTTGATTCAGGTGTGCTGACCCAGGGTGAGATCTAAAACCTGCAGGACACCAACCCTTGAGGTCTAGAGTTCCCCACCCCTGCATTAAAGTATGATCTGTATGACCTCTGATTTCCAGCTTCTAAAATAAAAACTGAGGTTATTGGAGTAATTTTTGACCACGCTATGTCCCTACATATCAAATATGCAGGGATGCTTTCTTGTATGTACACAATATCTCTAAAATGACAAACATCCTGTCTTAGAGTGCTGCAAAAAACAGTTAATTAAAGTTCATTACTTCTAGATTTGGACAATTATATATAATCATTATCAGCTCGTTCTAACAGCTCCATGTAAAGACTTCACAATACTGCAATAAAGGGACTGACGGGGACAGAGACATATTATATTGCTCTCATATTAGTTTCTCTTTAGTGGTTCCCTGTTAAATCTACAATGAAATGTAAAATCCTATATAAAGTACTCACATACAAGGTCTTGATTAATCAGGTCCTATCATATCTTAAAGACATCATAGTACCGTATCACTCCCGATAGAGCAGTTTCCTTTCAGATTGCAGGCTTACTTGTAATATTTAGTATTAAGTGGAAAGGAAGGCAGCGACTTCAGCCCCTTTTTATGTGAAACCAGCTCCCAGTTTGGATTGGGGAGACAGACATCCTGTCAACTTTTAAAGTTCAGTTTAAATAGTTTCTTTTGGATAAAAGTTTTGGTAATGGCTGGATCAAGTGACCCTGAACCTTTCCTTCGATGCACTCCAAAAAACATTCACCTCTTTTAACTTTTTATGTGTTTATAAAGCATTTTAATCATTAGTTATTATTATTCGCTGGCTTTTTTGCACAGTGTGTCTTTTGTCATTTCTCCCAACCCCGACCGATCACAGGGAGTGTTTCATTTCTGCTGATGCCAAATACTTGCTCATAGAGGGTCCTCTGATAATTGGGATTTTCTCTCTATTATTCGAGGCTTTTACCTTACTATTTTTGTTATCTGGTGCTGAATGAATTCAGCTGAATGAGCTGGTGGGGCCGAGTTGCCTTTTTATTGTGTGGACACATACTAAAAAACATGTTTTATTTGCAGAATGCCAAATGCCTGAACCCAAGAGAGGCTAGGTACCAGTTGCTATTTAGTTGGTTTACCTTCATAATCACGTACTGTGCAGGTTTCCAAAATATTAACCTGAAGCTCTCGTCTGACAGTTCTCCACAGATTTCAGCTTTCCTGAACCAAGATCCTTCCTCACTCTTTCAGTGCCATAGAATATATCTTAGCCTGGACAGTACTAAATGTGCCAGGAGTAAAACTGGAACTAGTAGGTCAGTTAGTAAGTAAGAGTAATAAAATTTTATTTGTTTAGCACCTTTGATAACAATCACAAAGTGCTTCACAGAAAATAAAACATGAAAACAAAAATTAACCAAAGCCAAGTTTAAAAAGATGAGTTTTTAGCTGTTTTTTAAAAAGAGACCACTGAGTGCACAGATCTCAAGCTCAAAGGGCGAGAGCTCCAGTCTTGGGGCCACAGTTACAAAAGCTCTGTCACCTGTCGGTAGCAGCCTCGTATGATGGACAACCAGCGAGCCCTGATCACATGACCTCAGGGACCTGGTGGGGAGGTATGGATGTAAAAGAGCTCTGAAAAGAACTCCAAGATTCCTGGTAGGAGCACAAACGGACTTTGGTTTTCTCCTCATTATGTAGAAAAAAGTTATCAGTCATCCAACCTCTAATGGAGTCTATGCACCTATGCAAAATCTGTAGTTTGGAAACATCTTGGGGCTCAAAGGAACCCACCCAGTGTCTCAGCCCATCTAGCAAAATGTGATGATCAACAGTATCAAAGGCAGAGGTCAGGTCCAACATCAGCAAAACGGAGCATTCTCCTCATCACATCAAGACATCACTGGACACTCTAAGAAGTGCAGTTTCAGTAGAGTGGGCTCCGCGGATGAATTTATGCAGAGTGTATCCAGAACAGTTATAAGCTGCGTAGCCACAACCTTTTCTAAAATCTTAGCAATGAATGGGAGTTTTGAAATTGGTCTATAACTGCTAAGCAGAGAAGCGTCAAACTTGGGTTTTTTGTTGCAGCTGTTCCTCTTCCTGTTCCCTATTGCCGTATTGGCACTTACAGAACCTCCGATTTTTTTGTGGCCGGCCTCGATCGGAAGTAACAAAGTCATACTAGCCATCATATACAGATTTCTAAGAGACCTACTGCCATTGAAACAGCAAACTGGTTAATCATGTGTTCCAGCTTTATGGCATTCCTTGTGGCATTTAATGGAGGTCCCCTCTTTGTCTCTCAGGTCTCAAAAATCTTTGCAAGCTAAACTTAGTTTGATCCTTAATCTAATGGAGAAATGGTGAAAACTAGGAACAGCATTATGGTGTTTGATGTTATCAGATCCATGGTCCTGGAGCTCTCATTTGGCCTGGTTAGAATATCTGCATAATACATTTACCTCCTCTGCAACTGGTCACTGCTCTTCTAAAGCCTCTTAAGCCTCTTAAAGCTTCCATTGTTCCCCATTCTACAAGGCAGTGACTGTGCCATCGGTTTAACACTATCTTTGCCAACATGTGCATGGAAGCAGGCTATCGCAGTTCTTCTTCGAACTGCTGAACAAAATTGCCACCCTGCAGACAGGAGGAGAACCCTGTCTGCCCAGTATGTTCCAGAACGTTTGGCTTCCATCAATGGGACATTACGTTGATGCACCTTTTAAAATGGACAGAGCAATAGATTACCTGTATCCATGATAATCACTCAAACTTGCACATTTCTCAAATAAAGCCAGTGTCTTCCAGTCTTCTGCCCACACTCCACTGAACCACTCTCTCTTTTTCTGGATAGCTGCCTAACTGTCTGCTGCTCGTTCAAAGCCGCTGTTCTGGAAACTAACAAGCAAGATGTCAAAGTGACATTAAAAATACCTCTTCTGCCATTGTTTACATCCTCCGATGACCTCCCTGCTCGGTACCAGTTGGGAAAATGTATTCCTGTCGTTTGATTATCTTTACGTAAAACGTTTAAACCACCAAGTTGTCTGAGTCTGCTCTCAGGTCCAGTTCATGCTGAAAATATGACAGTATCTGCACTGTGATTTGTAAGATGCACATGAACTAAGACAACCAAATAGATATTAGACACACTTTAATTGTCCTTTACTTACAGTCACTGACGTAATACTGACTCTAGAGTTGATCCTTTTCTTGTAGAGTCATACGTGGCAGACTTTGATGGCAGAAGCTCATTGCTGTATCGGTTCAACCAGAAGTCCATGTCGACGGTCAAGGACGTGATCTCTCTGCGCTTCAAAAGCCATCAGGCCGAGGGCGTATTGCTGCATGGAGAGGGGCAGAGAGGAGATTACATCACCCTAGAACTTCACAGAGGAAGACTGGACCTCTACCTCAACTTAGGTGAGCTCTGTTTTTCCAGTGTTCCTGTGGTCATTGATGTGTCATTGCTAGAGATGAAGAGCGTGAGTGTGTTTGAGGGGATATGGGGCCTTTAGAGGAGATATATTTTGGAGGATGTCTTTACGATTAAGTTATCATTGGCTCAACCTGAATGTATAATAAGCTCACTGAATGTGAAGAGTAGTGCTGTTCCTCACAAACGATACTGAAAGGTACAGACCAGCTTGGCTTTGTTGAGAGAAGTTTGAGAAGCAGTGCCTACTTCCACCTGTACATACACAAATACAGCGTCATTACTGGAGATGTCTGCTCACTGTCTTCTTGGTCTTCTGTTTGTAAAGATGATAGCAGAGCGAGGTTCAGCAGCCATCGTGTTCCTGTCACTGTGGGCAGTCTGCTGGATGACCAGCACTGGCACTCGGTTCATATAGAGCGCTTCAACAAGCAGGTTAACCTCACAGTGGACTCCTACACACAGCGCTTCCAAACCAAAGGGGAAGGACACTCACTGGAGGTGGACTACGAGGTGAGTCCATGTGCTGACTGGATTACAGACAGTGGAGGTTAGACAGCAGTTAATGGATTTAGCTGCTGAGGATGAGACAACCCTGTCATTATTAAAGCACTGATGAACTGTGCTCATGGTGCTAAACAGACTCTCGCCTGTGTATGTCCTGAAAGAGGCTTTATTTGAAATAATCATTTGAAAAACAGAGAGAAACAGAAATAGCAGACGGGTCATTTTTGATTCCTCAAAAGAACAGCTGCCTGCCAAGAACGCTGGCAGCCTCTGCAGACCTTTACACAGCATTTAACATTGTGTGACTCTGCATTGTATGCTGTGCAAACAGGGACATTTCGCTTTAACCCCCAAAGACCTTGGATACATTTTAGCAAAAAAAACAACAACACATACCTAGATTCAGTCGGTAAACGCTTCACAACTCTGCAGCCGAACTATACAACCTGGGCCTCTCTGGACACGAGACAAATGGCCCCAGAAACTGTCCTTCAGTCTTATTAAAATTAAAGTGTGAGCAACAGCCTTATGACCGAGAAAATATCGATGCTATTAGTGTGTTTAAGAAAAGGTTTAGCTCTACCAGATTTGATGCTTCACAAATCACAATTTAATCACAGCAGTACTAGAGGGTCTTATTATTGTAGCATACGGAGAGCTGTGCAGACTCTGCTTGGTTTGTGTATTAATAAGAGATACATCCGTGTCCCAGTGCTGGGACTGGCGGACTTAAGTGATTCTAACTTTATTTATTGTAAACCCATTCAAGCCATTCAGTACATCTGGAACAAAACCAAAAACCATACATGCAGTGGAGTCTAAACAAAACAGAAAACAGTCCAGGGCCTTGGCCAGGAGGACAAAACTAGCAGGAGGCTGACACAGAGGAATTCTGGAGGATGACTGGGAGGCCAGCAGCAGAGATCAACTCTTGATGGAAAAGACGTGGCCTATCTGGAGACTTGGCCAGAGATTACCGATTGCTGAAGAGGTCGGACTCCTCTGGTGGCTTGGCCGGGAGCCGGTGGCGACATGGGAGGAGACGGGACTCTTCTGGAGACATGGACAGAGGCTGCCACTGCGACGGAGACCCTCTGCTGACAAGGGCGGAGGTGGCTTGGATGGAGTCTGGCATCCAAGTCCATGCCAGGCTGATATGTCTAAGTGACTGGACAGGACAACAGCCACAGTGAAGATAATGGAGCCACTTAGACAGGTTGATCAGCGTCTGAGGCAAGCAACCGAGCTGGAGTCCCACCTTTTGTCCAGGGCAGAATGTCGGCAATGGCATGCGTGGAGGAGACTCTCTGGAAGCCAGCGGTGACAGTGATGGGACACCGCAGCAGCTCCACAGGTGGCCGACCGCCACAGCGAGGAGTTACTGGCTCAGGCTTTGGCTCAGACAGAGCAGGACTGAACACAGCAGGCTGAGCGGGGCCCTGTGGCCTGGACAGTACTGGCTTGGGACGCTCAGGGTCAGACATAGACAGATCAGGGTTGGCATGAAGAGATAAATGCTATAGAGGAATATGCAGTGAGGCAAATTCCCACGAACCCAAACATGTTCATGTGCAACTCTGGGAAATGTAGTTGATCGAGTATAGGAGGCTAAACCAGCGGCTTTTGTCTGCTTCTGTTGCTTTGAGGAACAAAGTTCATATATGGGCTACATTTGTTACTGTTATTATCAGCTGTATGAGCCAGTTAGTAATTAATATTGATATCAGTATTAACACTGTAGCTGTCCTGTTTATAGTTAAATTCAGTATTTAATTTAAAAATAGTTTGCAACCAACATATGGTTGATTAGTGAAGTCGTTAGCATTGATAAGAAGCTGTGAAAAAAATAGATCTAAAAACAGTTTTTCTTTTAAATGAAGATTAAAATACAGCATGTGTAATAACTATGGGGACATTACGTAAACATGTTATTGACAAGCATGTCAGGCTAGACCAGGCTTTCATCTGCTGCTGCTCTGTTAGAGAAAGCTTTTAAGTCTGGCTTCATTCACAAGAGTGAGGTCATTAGTGAGGTCATTAGTGAGGTCATTAGAGGTCAGGCCCTGATGCCAGCTCATAGTGCTTGGATATGGAGTTCCTCATTATTTCCTGGGGCATGGATTGGGACGTTCTTCCATTAAAAATAAATAAATGAAAAAATGTAACATGTGCTTTGCTCCTGTTACATTAACAAAGGAAAAAGTCTTCCCTCAACTGCTGCGGCAATAAGACCACAGGGGAGTCATATACAGCATGTAACAGGTGTGATGTAGCTTTGGAGGCTGTGAGTGCTGCTCATAGGGGGTCAAGCTGAACTAAAATGAAACAAACAAAACAAAAACTGTTGTGAGTCATCCTCATATCGCCTTTGGGCTTTTGGAGCCTTGACTTGACTTTTAAAAAATAATTGGAAAAAAGCTCGATGCTGCTGAAAGAGGAAAAATAGATATTTGCAAAATTCTGCCTAAATATGTCTTTTACCTGGTTAATGTGTGTGGCCGAGGCGGACGCACCTGAAAAGTGGTCAATAAAGAGAAGCTGAAAAACGCGTTCATGCAAACATCGTCGGGTCTGCCGTGATATGTTTACAACGGGACTTCTGCTGCTGAACCTCTGCGCACAGCGTCTGCAGGTCGGGGCTGTACGAAGTCACTTTATCTCTGCAGAACTGTAAGCTGTCGTCTGTGAGGCGTGTTTGTTTTAACATAGTTGGAGAACAGCTGCTGACATAATGTGGATCTGAACATCCATAACTGGCCTACCTGGTGTTGAAAGTCTCGATAAATGCACGCCGTTTCGGCGGGTACACCGGCTTCTGCGAGTGTGACGCTTATTTTGAGCGATGAAAAAATAATAGAATATAATTTAACTTTTATATTTCAAAATCACAATAATCTTCCAGTGTAGAACTACAAGTTAAAAAATAACAAACATAAATAAAATACACTTCAGCTAAATACTTCTCATTTATTTTCCCAAACCACGCAGAGCCGCAGTTTAAGGACTAAAGAGCCACAGGTTGCCGACCCCTGGTCTAGCCCCTCACCCTAACCATTAAAAATGAAGGCCTGACCCTGACCATAACCTAACTGTAACCCTGACACCAAAACCACATTTTGAGCCTCAAAAATGCTTCAAACTTGTGAGGACCGTGGGTGTGTCCTCACAAGTGACTGTTGGTTCTCAAGTAGAATGCAGATTTCGGTGCTCACAAAGACAGCTAGACAGGAACACACATAAACAAACACACACACACACACACACACACACACACACACACACACACACACACACACACACACACACACACACACACACACATCTATTTATGTTTTGTGTTTGGTATTTTGCATATACTTTGGTTGTTGTTGTGTTGGCACAATGACAATAAAAGATGACTTGAATTTCACATCATTTTTGTTAAAAACACGAGTTGTTCTTGGTGAATCGGTTTCTGTATTTTCTTCTTTAAAGCTGAGCTTTGGAGGGATCCCGTTGCCGGGTAAGCCCGGCACCTTTCTGAGGAAGAACTTCAATGGTTGCATGGAAAACCTCTACTACAACGGGATCAATGTCATAGATCTGGCAAAGAGACGCAAGCCGCAGATACACAGCGTGGTGAGTTGTGTAGTTTTCCACAGTGCTGCATGTGTTCTTAGTGAGTCTGTTGTGCATTAAGCTGAACTCAGCTCATATATGTAAAAATGATGAAAAGCCTGGGTACCATGAAAACACAGACAGCAGTATTTGAGTTCTTCTGTCCTTTACAATCCTACACATCTGTGATAGGCGAATATAACGACTGATTCTTTCTTTCTGGTGTCTATAAAGACAAACCTGTGCAGTGATTCACTTTTAAAAGCTCACAAATGTGAAAAAGCCTCACAGCACAGATGATCTCTATTAGGGAGCGAAGCTGATGTAATGATATTTATAAAGATAGGAAAAATGCAGGAAGAGTGCATCTGTAGGCGGGCAAAAGACCGTGGGCGAGTGGAGCGAGTGAAACTGTAAAGGTCTAATTTGGTAATCATATATCGCAGTGCAGTAATTCTATAGTCAGGTTTAGCAGGAGTGTGAGGCAACAGCATGGAGCAGCATCTCAGGACAGACCGACAACTTTATGAAAACATGTAAATAATCGTGGATTGATTGCACATTTCTGTATAAGCTGGATGAAGTTTAGAGCATGTCCTCTGGAGGGACAGAAGGCCAAACGGCCGCGGTGAAGGTAGGGTAACAAATAAGACTGGAGAAAGGTGCATTCCTCCATGGATGTGCTTTCACAGGAGGTCCACGGATAAAGAGAAATGAGTGCAGCCTTATGTATTTTCTGTATTTGACAGAGAAATTTGAGTTTAGTGTGAATATGTGTGAATGAACATGAAGCCAAGCGATGGTGCTGCTGGAAAAGGCAGGCGCTCGCTCGCGTCGTTTCCCGGTTTTCTCTCTGCTGATTTGTGAGATATTTGATTAGTCACATTTAAGCGAGTCTTGTCAGACACTGAGGAACAAGTGACAATCGTTACATCCGTTGTGATTAAGCCCAAGTGCTGTTTGAGAGTCACCACCTACACCAATCACCGAGCCAGGTCTCATCTGAGACACCCCTGCCTTGACGTCTGACTGCTGCATTAAAAGGTCTTTACTGACACCAGAAGCAGAGGTGGAAGAGGCCGGCGTGATGGAAGCTGTGATGGAATTTCAATGGGACAGTCTCCCCGAGGTTGATGGGAGGGATCATACTGAGAGTCAAAGAGCTGCGATTGCTGCATGTGTGTCGTCCTGATGGGACTCTGACCTCAGCACACACCACTGTCTGTGTTCTGACATATTCCTTTACTTAATTCCATGGATGCTTTTATCAGGTTAAACTCGTGTGCTCGTCTTGGATCGAGACCTAAATGTTTGTCTTTGTTACAGAGACAGAGGAGCTAGAAGAGTCCACAACCTGTTCTACATAAATGTGTGTGTGCGTGTGTGTGTGTGTGTGTCCGTGTGTGTGCGTGT